CTTCAGAATAAAACAGTTTACTTCAGAGAAAAACACTGTTCCCTTCAGAATAAAACAGTTTACTTCTGAATAAAACTCCCTTCAGAGTAAAACACTGGTCCCTTCAGAATAAAACCGTTTCCTTCAGAATAAAACTTTTTCCTTCAGAATGAAACAGTTTCCTTCAGAATAAAACTCCCTTCAAAGTAAAACACTGGTCCCTTCAGAATAAAACAGTTTCCTTCAGAATAAAACTTTTTCCTTCAGAATGAAACAGTTTCCTTCAGAATAAAACTCCCTTCAAAGTAAAACACTGGTCCCGTCAGAATAAAACAGTTTCCTTCAGAATAAAACTTTTTCCTTCAGAATGAAACAGTTTCCTTCAGAATAAAACTCCCTTCAAAGTAAAACACTGGTCCCTTCAGAATAAAACAGTTTCCTTCAGAATAAAACTCCCTTCAGAGTAATACACTTCTCCCTTCAGAATAAAACGCCTCTGTGTCCTGCAGCTCTGGTGAGTGTTGCAGCAAACTGCTCTGGATCAGTCAGCAGGTCTGGACTCAGATCTTTACTGCAGGACCTCAGCCAGGTAAAACCAGTACAGAATACATTTCCCCAGCATGCCCTTCTCTTTCTAACATGTTTGTGTGTGTTCAGGTTCCTGCGGCGGTGCAGGAGGAAGGTGTTTTTAGCGGCGTGGAGGCGGCGGTGGGGTCATGTTTTACCGGGGTGAGAACTCAAAAAGTCCTCAGCGGCAGGTGACTGGCGGTTGTCATAGCGACCCACTGACTGTGTGTGTTTACAGGTTATGACCCCGATGGCAAGCAAAGAACACGTGTTGTCATGGCTGAAGAGCGAGCCACGTCTGTTGCTATGGTTACCCACTTTGCATCGCCTGGCCGTTAGTCAGAAAGTCAATCACGCCGTCCGCTGCCATACCTGCAAGACGGTCCCCATCACCGGACTCAGGTGAGCCAACATCTTCCAATCAGGACAGTTATTTTAACTTTAACAAATCATCATCTTCAGAAAATAATAACTGAGGTATAACATGGACTTTACTGAGGTTTAACTGGACTCTACTGAGGTTTAACTGGACTGTACTGAGGTTTAACTGGAATCTACTGAGGTTTAACATGGACTTTACTGAGGTTTAACTGGACTCTACTGAGGTTTAACATGGACTCTACTGAGGTTTAACTGGACTCTACTGAGGTTTAACATGGACTTTACTGAGGTTTAACTGGACTCTACTGAGGTTTAACTGGACTCTACTGAGGTTTAACATGGACATTACTGAGGTTTAACATGGACTTTACTGAGGTTTAACTAGACTCTACTGAGGTTTAACTGGACTCTACTGAGGTTTAACATGGACATTACTGAGGTTTAACATGGACTTTACTGAGGTTTAACTGGACTCTACTGAGGTTTAACTGGACTCTACTGAGGTTTAACATGGACTGTACTGAGGTTTAACTGGACTCTACTGAGGTTTAACATGGACTGTACTGAGGTTTAACTGGAATCTACTGAGGTTTAACATGGACTTTACTGAGGTTTAACTGGACTCTACTGAGGTTTAACTGGACTCTACTGAGGTTTAACATGGACTGTACTGAGGTTTAACTGGAATCTACTGAGGTTTAACATGGACTTTACTGAGGTTTAACTGGACTCTACTGAGGTTTAACATGGACTCTACTGAGGTTTAACTGGACTCTACTGAGGTTTAACATGGACTTTACTGAGGTTTAACTGGACTCTACTGAGGTTTAACTGGACTCTACTGAGGTTTAACATGGACATTACTGAGGTTTAACATGGACTTTACTGAGGTTTAACTAGACTCTACTGAGGTTTAACTGGACTCTACTGAGGTTTAACATAGACATTACTGAGGTTTAACATGGACTCTACTGAGGTTTAACTAGACTCTACTGAGGTTTAACTGGACCCTACTGGACTTTACTGAGGTTTAACATGGACTCTACTGAGGTTTAACATGGACTTTACTGAGGTTTAACATGGACTTTACTGAGGTTTGACTGGACTCTACTGAGGTTTAACATGGACTCTACTGAGGTTTAACTGGAATCTACTGAGGTTTAACATGGACTTTACTGAGGTTTAACATGGACTCTACTGAGGTTTAACTGGACTCTACTGAGGTTTAACATGGACTCTACTGAGGTTTAACATGGACATTACTGAGGTTTAACATGGACTTTACTGAGGTTTAACTAGACTCTACTGAGGTTTAACATGGACTCTACTGCGGTTTAACATGGACTTTACTAAGGTTTAACATGGACTCTACTGAGGTTTAACATGGACTGTACTGAGGTTTAACTGGACTCTACTGAGGTTTAACATGGACTCTACTGAGGCTTAACTGGACTCTACTGAGGTTTAACATGGACTTTACTGAGGTTTAACATGGACTCTACTGAGGTTTAACATGGACTCTGCTGAGGTTGAACTGGACTCTACTGAGATTGAACTGGACTGATGAGGTTTAACTGCACTCTGCTGAGGTTGAACTGGACTCTGCTGAAGATAAACTGGACTCTGCAGAGGTTGAACTGGACTGATGAGGTTTAACTGCACTCTGCTGAGGTTGAACTGGACTCTGCTGAGGTTGAATTGGACTCTGCTGAGGATGAACTGGACTGATGAAGTTGAACTGCACTCTACTGAGGATAAACTGGACTCTACTGAGGTTGAACTGGACTCTGCTGAGGTTGAACTGGACTCTGCTGAGGTTGAACTGGACTGATGAGGTTTAACTGCACTCTGCTGATGTTGAACTGGACTCTGCTGAGGTTGAACTGGACTCTGCTGAGGTTGAACTGGACTCTGCTGAGGTTGAATTGGACTCTACTGAGGTTGAACTGGACTCTGCTGAAGATAAACTGGACTCTGCTGAGGTTGAACTGGACTCTGCTGAGGTTGAACTGGACTCTACTGAGGTTCAAATGGACTGATGAGGTTTAACTGCACTCTGCTGAGGTTGAACTGGACTCTGCTGAAGATAAACTGGACTCTGCTGAGGTTGAACTGGACTCTGCTGAGGTTGAATTGGACTCTGCTGAGGTTGAACTGGACTGATGAGGTTTAACTGCACTCTGCTGAGGTTGAATTGGACTCTGCTGAGGTTGAACTAGACTCTGCTGAGGTTGAATTGGACTCTGCTGAGGTTGAACTGCACTCTGCTGAGGATAAACTGGACTCTGCTGAGGTTGAACTGGACTGATGAGGTTGAACTGGACTCTACTGAGGTTGAACTGGACTCTACTGAGGTTGAACTGCACTCTGCTGAGGTTGAACTGGACTCTGCTGAGGTTGAACTGGACTCTACTGAGAATAAACTGCACTCTGCTGAGGTTGAACTGGACTCTGCTGAGGTTGAACTGGACTCTGCTGAGGATAAACTGGACTCTGCTGAGGTTTAACTGCACTCTGCTGAGGTTGAACTGGACTCTGCTGAGGTTGAATTGGACTCTGCTGAGGTTGAACTGGACTCTGCTGAGGTTGAATTGGACTCTGCTGAGGTTGAACTGGACTCTGCTGAGGTTGAACTGGACTCTGCTGAGGTTGAACTGGACTCTACTGAGGTTCAAATGGACTGATGAGGTTTAACTGCACTCTGCTGAGGTTTAACTGGACTCTGCTGAGGTTGAACTGGACTCTGCTGAGGTTGAACTGGACTCTACTGAGAATAAACTGCACTCTGCTGAGGTTGAATTGGACTCTGCTGAGGATAAACTGGACTCTACTGAGGTTGAACTGGACTGATGAGGTTGAACTGCACTCTACTGAGGTTGAACTGGACTCTGCTGAGGTTGAATTGGACTCTACTGAGAATAAACTGCACTCTGCTGAGGTTGAACTGGACTCTACTGAGGTTGAACTGGACTCTACTGAGGTTGAACTGGACTCTACTGAGGATAAACTGGACTCTGCTGAGGTTGAACTGGACTCTGCTGAGGTTGAACTGGACTCTGCTGAGGTTGAACTGCACTCTGCTGAGGTTGAACTGGACTCTGATGAGGTTGAACTGCACTCTACTGAGGTTGAACTGGACTCTGATGAGGTTGAACTGGACTCTGCTGAGGATAAACTGCACTCTGCTGAGGTTGAATTGGACTCTGCTGAGGTTGAACTGGACTCTGCTGAGGATAAACTGGACTCTGCTGAGGTTGAACTGGACTCTGCTGAGGTTGAACTGGACTCTGCTGAGGTTGAACTGGACTCTGCTGAGGTTGAACTGGACTCTACTGAGATTGAACTGGACTGATGAGGTTTAACTGCACTCTGCTGAGGTTGAACTGCACTCTACTGAGGATAAACTGGACTCTGCTGAGGTTGAACTGGACTGATGAGGTTGAACTGGACTCTGCTGAGGTTGAACTGGACTCTAGTGAGGTTGAACTGGACTGATGAGGTTGAACTGGACTCTGCTGAGGTTGGACTGCACTCTGCTGAGGATAAACTGGACTCTGCTGAGGTTGAACTGGACTCTGCTGAGGTTTAACATGGACATTACTGAGGTTTAACATGGACTTTACTGAGGTTTAACTAGACTCTACTGAGGTTTAACATGGACTCTACTGCGGTTTAACATGGACTTTACTAAGGTTTAACATGGACTCTACTGAGGTTTAACATGGACTGTACTGAGGTTTAACTGGACTCTACTGAGGTTTAACATGGACTCTACTGAGGCTTAACTGGACTCTACTGAGGTTTAACATGGACTTTACTGAGGTTTAACATGGACTCTACTGAGGTTTAACATGGACTCTGCTGAGGTTGAACTGGACTCTACTGAGATTGAACTGGACTGATGAGGTTTAACTGCACTCTGCTGAGGTTGAACTGGACTCTGCTGAAGATAAACTGGACTCTGCAGAGGTTGAACTGGACTGATGAGGTTTAACTGCACTCTGCTGAGGTTGAACTGGACTCTGCTGAGGTTGAATTGGACTCTGCTGAGGATGAACTGGACTGATGAAGTTGAACTGCACTCTACTGAGGATAAACTGGACTCTACTGAGGTTGAACTGGACTCTGCTGAGGTTGAACTGGACTCTGCTGAGGTTGAACTGGACTGATGAGGTTTAACTGCACTCTGCTGATGTTGAACTGGACTCTGCTGAGGTTGAACTGGACTCTGCTGAGGTTGAACTGGACTCTGCTGAGGTTGAACTGGACTCTACTGAGATTGAACTGGACTGATGAGGTTTAACTGCACTCTGCTGAGGTTGAACTGCACTCTACTGAGGATAAACTGGACTCTGCTGAGGTTGAACTGGACTGATGAGGTTGAACTGGACTCTGCTGAGGTTGAACTGGACTCTAGTGAGGTTGAACTGGACTGATGAGGTTGAACTGGACTCTGCTGAGGTTGGACTGCACTCTGCTGAGGATAAACTGGACTCTGCTGAGGTTGAACTGGACTCTGCTGAGGTTTAACATGGACATTACTGAGGTTTAACATGGACTTTACTGAGGTTTAACTAGACTCTACTGAGGTTTAACATGGACTCTACTGCGGTTTAACATGGACTTTACTAAGGTTTAACATGGACTCTACTGAGGTTTAACATGGACTGTACTGAGGTTTAACTGGACTCTACTGAGGTTTAACATGGACTCTACTGAGGCTTAACTGGACTCTACTGAGGTTTAACATGGACTTTACTGAGGTTTAACATGGACTCTACTGAGGTTTAACATGGACTCTGCTGAGGTTGAACTGGACTCTACTGAGATTGAACTGGACTGATGAGGTTTAACTGCACTCTGCTGAGGTTGAACTGGACTCTGCTGAAGATAAACTGGACTCTGCAGAGGTTGAACTGGACTGATGAGGTTTAACTGCACTCTGCTGAGGTTGAACTGGACTCTGCTGAGGTTGAATTGGACTCTGCTGAGGATGAACTGGACTGATGAAGTTGAACTGCACTCTACTGAGGATAAACTGGACTCTACTGAGGTTGAACTGGACTCTGCTGAGGTTGAACTGGACTCTGCTGAGGTTGAACTGGACTGATGAGGTTTAACTGCACTCTGCTGATGTTGAACTGGACTCTGCTGAGGTTGAACTGGACTCTGCTGAGGTTGAACTGGACTCTGCTGAGGTTGAATTGGACTCTACTGAGGTTGAACTGGACTCTGCTGAAGATAAACTGGACTCTGATGAGGTTTAACTGCACTCTGCTGAGGTTGAACTGCACTCTACTGAGGATAAACTGGACTCTGCTGAGGTTGAACTGGACTGATGAGGTTGAACTGGACTCTGCTGAGGTTGAACTGGACTCTAGTGAGGTTGAACTGGACTGATGAGGTTGAACTGGACTCTGCTGAGGTTGGACTGCACTCTGCTGAGGATAAACTGGACTCTGCTGAGGTTGAACTGGACTCTGCTGAGGTTTAACATGGACATTACTGAGGTTTAACATGGACTTTACTGAGGTTTAACTAGACTCTACTGAGGTTTAACATGGACTCTACTGCGGTTTAACATGGACTTTACTAAGGTTTAACATGGACTCTACTGAGGTTTAACATGGACTGTACTGAGGTTTAACTGGACTCTACTGAGGTTTAACATGGACTCTACTGAGGCTTAACTGGACTCTACTGAGGTTTAACATGGACTTTACTGAGGTTTAACATGGACTCTACTGAGGTTTAACATGGACTCTGCTGAGGTTGAACTGGACTCTACTGAGATTGAACTGGACTGATGAGGTTTAACTGCACTCTGCTGAGGTTGAACTGGACTCTGCTGAAGATAAACTGGACTCTGCAGAGGTTGAACTGGACTGATGAGGTTTAACTGCACTCTGCTGAGGTTGAACTGGACTCTGCTGAGGTTGAATTGGACTCTGCTGAGGATGAACTGGACTGATGAAGTTGAACTGCACTCTACTGAGGATAAACTGGACTCTACTGAGGTTGAACTGGACTCTGCTGAGGTTGAACTGGACTCTGCTGAGGTTGAACTGGACTGATGAGGTTTAACTGCACTCTGCTGATGTTGAACTGGACTCTGCTGAGGTTGAACTGGACTCTGCTGAGGTTGAACTGGACTCTGCTGAGGTTGAATTGGACTCTACTGAGGTTGAACTGGACTCTGCTGAAGATAAACTGGACTCTGCTGAGGTTGAACTGGACTCTGCTGAGGTTGAACTGGACTCTACTGAGGTTCAAATGGACTGATGAGGTTTAACTGCACTCTGCTGAGGTTGAACTGGACTCTGCTGAAGATAAACTGGACTCTGCTGAGGTTGAACTGGACTCTGCTGAGGTTGAATTGGACTCTGCTGAGGTTGAACTGGACTGATGAGGTTTAACTGCACTCTGCTGAGGTTGAACTGGACTCTGCTGAGGTTGAATTGGACTCTGCTGAGGTTGAACTAGACTCTGCTGAGGTTGAATTGGACTCTGCTGAGGTTGAACTGCACTCTGCTGAGGATAAACTGGACTCTGCTGAGGTTGAACTGGACTGATGAGGTTGAACTGGACTCTACTGAGGTTGAACTGGACTCTACTGAGGTTGAACTGCACTCTGCTGAGGTTGAACTGGACTCTGCTGAGGTTGAACTGGACTCTACTGAGAATAAACTGCACTCTGCTGAGGTTGAACTGGACTCTGCTGAGGTTGAACTGGACTCTGCTGAGGATAAACTGGACTCTGCTGAGGTTTAACTGCACTCTGCTGAGGTTGAACTGGACTCTGCTGAGGTTGAATTGGACTCTGCTGAGGTTGAATTGGACTCTGCTGAGGTTGAATTGGACTCTGCTGAGGTTGAACTGGACTCTGCTGAGGTTGAACTGGACTCTGCTGAGGTTGAACTGGACTCTACTGAGGTTCAAATGGACTGATGAGGTTTAACTGCACTCTGCTGAGGTTTAACTGGACTCTGCTGAGGTTGAACTGGACTCTGCTGAGGTTGAACTGGACTCTGCTGAGGTTGAACTGGACTCTACTGAGAATAAACTGCACTCTGCTGAGGTTGAATTGGACTCTGCTGAGGATAAACTGGACTCTACTGAGGTTGAACTGGACTGATGAGGTTGAACTGCACTCTACTGAGGTTGAACTGGACTCTGCTGAGGTTGAATTGGACTCTGCTGAGGTTGAACTGGACTCTGCTGAGGATAAACTGGACTCTGCTGAGGTTGAACTGGACTCTGCTGAGGTTGAACTGGACTCTGCTGAGGTTGAACTGGACTCTGCTGAGGTTGAACTGGACTCTACTGAGATTGAACTGGACTGATGAGGTTTAACTGCACTCTGCTGAGGTTGAACTGCACTCTACTGAGGATAAACTGGACTCTGCTGAGGTTGAACTGGACTGATGAGGTTGAACTGGACTCTGCTGAGGTTGAACTGGACTCTAGTGAGGTTGAACTGGACTGATGAGGTTGAACTGGACTCTGCTGAGGTTGGACTGCACTCTGCTGAGGATAAACTGGACTCTGCTGAGGTTGAACTGGACTCTGCTGAGGTTGAACTGGACTCTGATGAGGTTGAACTGCACTCTACTGAGGTTGAACTGGACTCTGCTGAGGTTGAACTGCACTCTGCTGAGGATAAACTGCACTCTGCTGAGGTTGAACTGGACTCTGCTGAGGTTGAACTGGACTCTGCTGAGGTTGAACTGGACTGATGAGGTTTAACTGCACTCTGCTGAGGTTGAACTGCACTCTACTGAGGATAAACTGGACTCTGCTGAGGTTGAACTGGACTGATGAGGTTGAACTGGACTCTGCTGAGGTTGAACTGGACTCTAGTGAGGATAAACTGCACTCTGCTGAGGATAAACTGGACTCTGCTGAGGTTGAATTGGACTCTGCTGAGGTTGAACTGGACTCTGCTGAGGTTGAACTGGAGTGATGAGGTTAACTGCACTCTGCTGAGGATAAACTGGACTCTGCTGAGGTTGAACTGCACTCTGCTGAGGTTGAACTGGACTCTGCTGAGGTTGAACTGCACTCTGCTGAGGTTGAACTGGACTCTGCTGAAGATAAACTGCACTCTGCTGAGGTTGAATTGGACTCTGCTGAGGTTGAACTGGACTCTGCTGAGGATAAACTGGACTCTGCTGAGGATAAACTGGACTCTGCTGAGGTTGAATTGGACTCTGCTGAGGTTGAACTGGACTCTGCTGAGGTTGAACTGGACTCTACTGAGATTGAACTGGACTGATGAGGTTTAACTGCACTCTGCTGAGGATAAACTGGACTCTGCTGAGGTTGAACTGGACTCTGCTGAGGTTGAACTGCACTCTGCTGAGGTTGAACTGGACTCTACGGAGGATAAACTGGACTCTGCTGAAGTTGAATTGGACTCTACTGAGGTTGAACTGGACTCTACTGAGGTTGAACTGGACTCTGCTGAGGATAGACTGGACTCTGCTGATGTTGAACTGGACTCTGCTGAGGTTGAACTGCACTCTGCTGAGGTTGAACTGCACTCTGCTGAGGATAAACTGGACTCTGCTGAGGTTGAACTGGACTGATGAGGTTTAACTGCACTCTGCTGAGGTTGAACTGGACTCTGCTGAGGTTGAACTGGACTCTGCTGAGGTTGAACTGGACTCTACTGAGGTTGAACTGGACTGATGAGGTTGAACTGCACTCTACTGAGGTTGAACTGGACTCTACTGAGGTTGAACTGCACTCTGCTGAGGTTGAACTGGACTCTACTGAGGTTGAACTGCACTCTGCTGAGGTTGAACTGGACTCTGCTGAGGTTGAACTGCACTCTACTGAGAACAAACTGCACTCTGCTGAGGTTGAATTGGACTCTACTGAGGGTAAACTGGACTCTGCTGAGGTTGAACTGGACTCTACTGAGGTTGAACTGGACTGATGAGGTTGAACTGCACTCTGCTGAGGTTGAACTGGACTCTGCTGAGGTTGAATTGGACTCTACTGAGGTTGAACTGGACTCTGCTGAGGATAAATTGGACTCTGCTGAGGTTGAATTGGACTCTGCTGAGGTTGAATTGGACTCTGCTGAGGTTGAACTGGACTCTGCTGAGGTTGAACTGGACTGATGAGGTTGAACTGGACTCTGCTGAGGTTGAACTGGACTCTGCTGAGGTTTAACTGGACTCTGCTGAGGTTGAACTGGACTGATGAGGTTGAATTGGACTCTGCTGAGGTTGAATTGGACTCTGCTGAGGTTGAACTGGACTCTGCTGAGGTTGAACTGGACTCTGCTGAGGTTGAACTGGACTCTGCTGAGGTTGAATTGGACTGATGAGGTTGAATTGGACTCTGCTGAGGTTGAACTGGACTCTGCTGAGGTTTAACTGGACTCTACCAGGCTAAACTAAACTGTACTGGGGTCAGATGATCCTGTAAGACAAACTGAAAGGCAGCATTGTGAATGATTATATGTGTGTGTGTGTTCAGGTATCGATGTATGAAATGTGTGAACGTCCACCTGTGTCAGACCTGCTTCCTGACAGACAGACAGACGAGGAAACACAAAGCTCAACATCCAGTGCTCGAGTTCTGCACACAGGTAACAACAGACAGGTAACTAAAGACAGGTAACCACAGACAGTTAACTACAGAGATAATGGTAACTACAGACAGACAGGTAACCACAGACACGTAACTACAGACAGACGGTAACCACAGACAGGTAACCACAGACATAAAGGTAACCTCAGACAGACATGTGAGCACAGACAGACTTGTAACTACAGACAGAAAGGTAACCACAGACATACAGGTAACTACAGACAGACAGATAACTACAGACAGACAGGTAACCACAGACAGGTAACTGCAGAGATATTGGTAACCACAGACAGAAAGGTAACCACAGACAGGTAACTACAGACAGACGGGTAACCACAGACAGGTAACCACAGACATAAAGGTAACCACAGACAGAAATGTGAGCACAGACAGATAGGAAACTACATACAGACAGGTAACTACAGACAGATTGGCAACTACAGACAGGTAACCACAGACAGACAGGTAACCACAGCCAGACAAGCAACTACAGACAGATTGGCAACTACAGACAGGTAACCACAGATAGGCAGGTAACCACCGACAGACTGGTAACCACAGACAGACAAGTAGCTACAGACAGACTGGTAACCACAGACAGACAGAAAACTACAGACATACAGGTGAGCACATACAGACAGGTAACTACAGACAGAAAGTTAACCACAGACAAACAGGTAAACAGACAGGTGACCACAGAAAGATAACAACAGACATACAGGTAACTACAGACAGACTGGTGACTACAGACAGGTAACCACAAACAGACTGGTAACCACAAGCAGGTAACTACCTACATTCAGGTAACCACAGACAGGTTTCCACAAATAGGTAACTACAGACAGACAGGTAACTACAGACAGATTGGCAACTACAGACAGATTGGCATCTACAGACAGACAGGTAGCCACAGAAAGACAGGTAACCATAGACAGGTAACTACAGACATAGAGGTAACTACAGACAGATAGGTAACTACAGACAGACTGGTAACTACAGACAGGTAACCACAGACAGACAGGTAAACAGACAGGTGAGCACAGACATACAGGTAATTACAGGCAGACAGGTGAGCACATACAGACTGGTAACCACAGAAAGACAGGTAAACAGACAGGTGAGCACAGACAGGTAACCACAGACAGGTAACTACAGACAGACTGGTAACCACAGAAAGGTAACCACAGACAGGCAGGTAACCACAGACAGGCAGGTAACTACAGACAGATAGGCAACTACAGACATACAGGTAGCCATAGACAGGTAACTAAAGACATACAGGTATCTACAGACATACAGGTAACTACAGGCAGACAGGTGAGCACAGACAGACAGGTAACTACAGACAGACTGGTAACTACAGACAGGTAACCACAAAAAGACTGGTAACCACATACAGGTGAGCAAAGACATATAGATAACCACAGACAAACTGGTAACCACAGACAGACAGGTAGCTACAGACAGACTGGTAACCACAGGCAGGTAAACAGACAGGTAACCACCGACAGACTGGTAACCACAGAAAGACAGCTAGATACAGACAGACTGGTAACCACCGACAGACAGGTAGTTACAGACAGACTGGTAACCACAAAAAGACAGCTAGCTACAGACAGACTGGTAACCACAGACAGACAGGTAGCTACAGACAGACTGGTAACCACAGACAGACAGCTAGCTACAGACAGACTGGTAACCACAGACAGACTGGTAACCACAGAAAGACAGCTAGCTACAGACAGACTGGTAACCACCGACAGACAGGTAACAACAGACAGACTGGTAACCACAGACAGACAGGTAGCTACAGACAGACTGGTAACCACAGACAGACTGGTAACCACAGACAGACAGCTAGCTACAGACAGACTGGTAACCACAGACAGACAGGTAGCTACAGACAGACTGGTAACCACAGAAAGACTGGTAACCACAGACAGACTGGTAACCACAGACAGACAGCTAGCTACAGACAGACTGGTAACCACAGAAAGACAGCTAGTTACAGACAGACTGGTAACCACAGACAGACAGGTAGCTACAGACAGACTGGTAACCACAGACAAACAGGTAGCTACAGACAAACTGGTAATCACAGACAGACAGGTAGCTACAGAGAGACTGGTAACCACAGACAGACAGGTAGCTACAGACAGACTGGTAACCACCGACAGACTGGTAACCACAGAAAGACAGCTAGCTACAGACAGACTGGTAACCACAGAAAGACAGCTAGCTACAGACAGACTGGTAACCACAGACAGACAGGTAGCTACAGACAGACTGGTAACCACAGACAGACTGGTAACCACAGAAAGACAGCTAGCTACAGACAGACTGGTAACCACAGACAGACAGGTAGCTACAGACAGACTGGTAACCACAGAAAGACTGGTAACCACAGACAGACTGGTAACCACAGACAGACAGGTAGCTACAGACAGACTGGTAACCACAGAAAGACAGCTAGCTACAGACAGACTGGTAACCACAGAAAGACAGGTAGCTACAGACAGACTGGTAACCACAGACAAACAGGTAGCTACAGACAGACTGGTAACCACAGACAGACAGGTAGCTACAGAGAGACTGGTAACCACCGACAGACTGGTAACCACAGACAGACAGCTAGCTACAGACAAACTGGTAACCACAGAAAGACAGCTAGCTACAGACATACTGGTAACCACAGACAGACAGCTAGCTACAGAGAGACTGGTAACCACAGAAAGACAGCTAGCTACAGACAGACTGGTAACCACCGACAGACTGGTAACCACAGACAGACAGTTAGCTACAGACAAACTGGTAACCACAGAAAGACAGCTAGCTACAGACAGACTGGTAACCACGACAGACAGGTAACAACAGACAGACTGGTAACCACCGACAGACTGGTAACCACAGAAAGACAGCTAGCTACAGACAAACTGGTAACCACAGAAAGACAGCTAGCTACAGACAGACTGGTAACCACAGACAGACAGGTAGCTACAGACAGACTGGTAACCACAGAAAGACTGGTAACCACAGACAGACTGGTAACCACAGACAGACAGGTAGCTACAGACAGACTGGTAACCACAGACAGACAGCTAGCTACAGACAGACTGGTAACCACAGAAAGACAGCTAGTTACAGACAGACTGGTAACCACAGACAGACAGGTAGCTACAGACAGACTGGTAACCACAGACAAACAGGTAGCTACAGACAAACTGGTAATCACAGACAGACAGGTAGCTACAGAGAGACTGGTAACCACAGACAGACAGGTAGCTACAGACAGACTGGTAACCACCGACAGACTGGTAACCACAGAAAGACAGCTAGCTACAGACAGACTGGTAACCACAGAAAGACAGCTAGCTACAGACAGACTGGTAACCACAGACAGACAGGTAGCTACAGACAGACTGGTAACCACAGACAGACTGGTAACCACAGAAAGACAGCTAGCTACAGACAGACTGGTAACCACAGACAGACAGGTAGCTACAGACAGACTGGTAACCACAGAAAGACTGGTAACCACAGACAGACTGGTAACCACAGACAGACAGGTAGCTACAGACAGACTGGTAACCACAGACAGACAGGTAGCTACAGACAGACTGGTAACCACAGAAAGACAGCTAGCTACAGACAGACTGGTAACCACAGAAAGACAGGTAGCTACAGACAGACTGGTAACCACAGACAAACAGGTAGCTACAGACAGACTGGTAACCACAGACAGACAGGTAGCTACAGAGAGACTGGTAACCACCAACAGACTGGTAACCACAGACAGACAGCTAGCTACAGACAAACTGGTAACCACAGACAGACAGCTAGCTACAGAGAGACTGGTAACCACAGAAAGACAGCTAGCTACAGACAGACTGGTAACCACCGACAGACTGGTAACCACAGACAGACAGTTAGCTACAGACAAACTGGTAACCACAGAAAGACAGCTAGCTACAGACAGACTGGTAACCACAGACAGACAGGTAGCTACAGACAGACTGGTAACCACCGACAGACTGGTAACCACAGACAGACAGCTAGCTACAGACAAACTGGTAACCACAGAAAGACAGCTAGCTACAGACAGACTGGTAACCACAGACAGACAGCTAGCTACAGACAAACTGGTAACCACAGAAAGACAGCTAGCTACAGACAGACTGGTAACCACAGACAGACGGGTAACCACAGACAGACAGGTAAAGGTTTAGTGGGTAATATTCAGCTTGTGTCTTTCAGCCCACCTGGAAGGAGTCTCTCTCCTCATTAGTGCACAGTGCTCGGAACAACCTGTTGCCGCGGCGATTCACTCAGAGAGAGGCTGACAAGACGAGGATCCTGATGTGGGCGGAGTCAGGAGAGACTCCTAACAGGTGAGTCAGGAGAGACTCAGAACAGGTGAGAGAGGAATAAAAACACTCAAACAGCTTTTGTAAATAAAGTATTTGTTTCTCAGTGCTCCGCCCCCTTCTGATGTCCCGACACGATTGGCTGCCTCAGCTGTCTGTCACAGTCCCTCCTCTGACAGAGACGTTTCCCATGATGCCCTGGTGCAACCTCCTCGCCGCTCATTTTCATCCAAAGCTCTGCAGACTGACGAGGAGACGCCGACTCACCAGGTGACCTCTGATGACCCCTGAATGTTCTATATGTAACCTATGATCTATATGTGTCCAGCAAAGTTGGGCTGATTTCCGAAATGCAATCAAATCAGTGTTTTATTAATTCATGTGAAGTCCAGAGAAAAGCTTCCCAACAGCGTGATTAGATTTAGTACAAAGTTAGGACAGAGTTAACCTCAGACTGAAACGTGTCCAGAACATTCAGGACCACCTGTGGAGACTGCACCAGAAGCTGGGAACAGGTGAGGGCTCATCCAGCGGCTCAGTCTCTGCAGGTCAGGAGGTCCTGGCTCACCGCTTTGATCCAGAACTCATGGATCAAAGAGAACATTTCTCAACACAAGACTGCAGAGACTTCGGGTCCCTCAAAGTCAGCAGCGCATTGTGAAGAGACCTCTCGGTGCTGAATGTACGTGACCTTCCAGCCCTCAGGAGGAACTGCCTAAGACACCGTCATGCTTCTGTGACAAACATATGTGCTCAGGTGGACCAGAGGGATGTTCTGATGCCGGTCAAGATCTGTCTCCTGTTCAAAACGTATGGAGCATCATGAAGAGGGGAATCAGACAGCGGCGACCACAGACTGTCGAGCAGCTCAAGTTCTGTATCAAGAAGAAAGGACAAACCTTCAACTGTAAATCTGGCTCAGTTCGTGGCTTCACTTCCCAAACCATCAGACAGTGTTATTAAAGGTGATGAACACAAAACACGCCGCTGTCCAACTTCTTGCAGTATGGACATCTAATTTTGTTTATATTTTCTAAATATAATCACACTGCTCAGTAAAACCACTGAGAATCTTTTCTTTGGACTTTTGTCAGTCAAATAAAGTTTCATGTGAACAAACGAATCAGATTTGAGTTTTATTGCATTTTGGAAAATATCCCAACTTTCCTGGACATGTAATATTTTAATTACATTCAATTTTATTTATATAGCGCCAAATCACAACAACAGTTATCTCACAGCACTTTTCATAAAGAGCAGGTCTAGAGCGTACTCTATGATGCTATTTACAGAAGCCCAACAGTTCCCACCAAGAGCAGCACTAGGAGACAGAGGCAAGGAAAAACTTCCTTAAGAGGCAGAAACCTCGAGCCACAGATCCAGACTCCACAGCTCCAGAGCCAGAAACACCTGCAGGAAGTGATAGGAGGAGAGAGGAGAGGGACGAGAAAGCACAAGACTACCAGAAAGGGGAGAAGTTGTGTTAGTAACATGCAATAATGGGATGAGGTTGCATACAGAGGGAGAGAAAGTAGAGGAGAGAGGAGCTCAGTGCATCATGGGAAATCCCCCGGCAGTCTAGGCCTGTAGCAGCATAACTAAGGGATGGTTCAGGACTCACCTGAGCCAGCCCTAACTATAAGCTTTATCAAAGAGGAAAGTCTTAAGCCTACTCTTAAATGTGGAGATGGTGTCTGCCTCCTGAACCCAAACTGGAACCTGGTTCCACAGGAGAGGAGCTTGATAGCTGAACGCTCTGGCTCCTAGTCTACTTTTGGAGACTCTAGGAACCACAAGTAACCCTGCATTCTGGGAGCGCAGTGCTCTGGTGGGGTAGTAAGGTACTATGAGCTCTTTAAGATAAGATGGTGCCTGACCATTAAGAGCTTTGTAGGTAAGAAGAATGATTTTAAATTATATTCTGGATTTTACTGGAAGCCAATGTAGAGAAGCTAAGACAGGAGAAATATGATCTCTTTTCCTGGTTCCTGTCAGAACACGTGCTGCAGCATTCTGGATCAGCTGAAGAGTCTTAATGGACTTTTTCGAGCAGCCTGATAATAAGGAATTGCAGTAATCCAGCCTAGAAGTAACAAATGCATGGACTAGTTTTTCTGCATCATTTTCAGATAGGATGTTCCTGATTTTCGCAATATTACGTAGGTGAAAAAAGGCGGTCCTTGAAATTTGCCTAATGTAAGACTTAAACGACATGTCCTGATCAAAGATAACTCCAAGATTCCTCACAGTGGTGCTGGAGGCCAGGGCGATGCCATCAACATCCTGAAGGGACATTTGAATTTTAGCTAACTGATGAGTTTCATCTGGCTTGATCGATAGATATAACTGAGTATCATCTGCATAACAATGAAAGCTTATGGAATATTTCCTGATAATATTGCCTAAAGAAGCATATATAAAGTGAAGAAGATTGGTCCGAGGACAGATCCTTGTGGACTAACTTTGGCGTGCAAGGAGGACTCATCGTTAACATGTACAAACTGAAATCGATCTGATAAATAGGACTTAAACCAGCTTAGAGCGGTTCCTTTAATGCCAATGAAATATTCCACTCTCTGCAATAGGATCTGATGGTCAATGGTATCAAATGCAGCACTAAGATCTAATAAAACCAGTACAGAGACAAGTCCTTTGTCTGATGCAATAAGGAGGTCGTTAGTAATTTTCACCAGTGCTGTCTCTGTGCTATGATGAGCTCTAAATCCTGACTGAAAATCCTCAAATAAACTATTGCTCTGTAGAAAGTCACACAGCTGTTTAGCAACTGCTTTCTCCAGAACCTTAGAGAGAAATGGAAGGTTAGATATAGGTCTATAGTTTGCTAAAACATCCGGATCAAGTTTGGGCTTTTTCAGAAGAGGTTTAATTACAGCTACTTTAAAGTACTGTGGTACATAGCCTGTTGATAAAGATAGATTGATCATATCTAGTATAGAGGTGCTGACTAACGGTAAAACATCTTTAAGCAGCCTAGTCGGGATGGGGTCTAAGAGGCAGGTTGATGGTTTAGATGAAGAAATTATTGAAGTTAGTTGGTAAAGATTGAGTGAAGCAAAACAGTCTAAACATGTATCTGGTTCTACAGCTGTTTCTAAGGTTCCTGAGTTTAGAGATAAGTTGGTGCCAGTTGAGGGCAGGTCTTGATGAATTTTGTCTCTAATAGCTAGAATTTTATCATTAAAGAAGCTCATGAAATCGTAACTACTGAGAGCTATGGGAATACTTGGCTCAATAGAGCTGTGACTCTCTGTCAGCCTGGCTACAGTGCTGAAAAGAAACCTGGGGTTGTTCCTATTTTCCTCTATTAATGACGAGTAGTACGCTGCTCTGGCATTACGGAGGGCCTTCCTATAAGTTTTAAGACTATCTTGCCAAATTAAACGAGAATTTTCCACTTTGGTGGAACGCCAATTCCTCTCAAGTTTCTGCGATATTTGCTTTCATTTGCGAGTTTCAGTATTATACCATGGAGCTAACCGTCTTTGTTTTAGTATTTTCTTTTTTAGAGGGGCTACAGAGTCCAGTGTCATTCGCAGCGAGCCTGCAGCACTATTAACAAGATGATCGATTTGGGAGGGACTGAAATTAGCATAGGAGTCCTCCGTTACTTTGTGACTAGATAATGTATTTAGAGCTGATGGAATCGCATCCTTAAATTTAGCTATAGCACTATCAGACAGACATCTTGTATAGAAATTTTTGCTCAATGGCGTGTAGTTCAGCAATACAAACTCAAAAGTTATCAAACAGTGGTCGGATAAAGAGGGATTCTGTGGGAACACCACTAAATGTTCAATTTCAATACCATACACCAGAACAAGGTCGAGGGTGTGGTTAAAACAGTGAGTCGGTTCATGAACACTCTGAGAGAAGCCGATGGAATCTAACAAGAGATAAACGCAGTACTAAAGCTGTCATTCTCAACGTCCACATGAATATTAAAATCCCCTACAATAATAACTTTGTCCATTTTAAGGACTAAAGTTGACAAAAACTCTGCAAATTCAGATAAGAATTCAGAATACGGGCCAGGTGCTCGGTACAGTATAACGAAGAGAATTGGTTGCAGTGATTTCCAACTTGGGTGCGAAAGACTAAGAACAAGACTTTCAAATAGTTATAGTTTAGTTTAGGTTTAGAGCTGATTAGTAGGCTAGAGTCAAGATAGCTGCAACTCCACCTCCTCGGCCTGTGCCTCGAGGAATGTGAGTATTAATATGACTGGGAGGGGTGGATTCATTTAGGCTAACATATTCTCCATCACCCAGCCAGGTTTCAGTAAGACCAAATAAATCAATATCATAATCTGATATTAGTTCATTTACTAGTACACCTTTAGAAGAGAGAGATCTGATGTTTAAGAGTCCACATTTAACTCTCCTATTCGTTTGCACTATTGCTCTTGTGGTTTTAATTTTTATGAGGTTTTTATGCACAGCTCCTCTTCTGTTTACCTTTTTAAATAATTTCGATGGTGGGGGGGCAGACACCGTCACTATAGGATTTTCACTAAGTAACTCCTGAAATGGAGGAGCAGAGAAGTGTGTTAGACTGCGACTCTGCGTAGGGTTTTGGGTGGGTAACTGCTGAAAAAGAAGGGCAGAGAAGTGTGTTAGACTGCGACTCTGCCTCCTGGTCTCAACTCTGGGTTGTCATGGATTTGGTCCACTAATAAACTTGGCCAGATTTCTAGAAATGAGAGCTGCTCCTTCCCAAGTGGGATGGATGCCGTCTCTCCGGATCAGACCAGGTCTTCCCCAGAAAGTCTGCCAATGATCAACAAAGCCCACATCGTTTGCTGGACACCACCTCGACAACCAGCGGCGGAATGACGACATGCGGCTATACATGTCATCACTGGTCAGATTTGGCAGGGGTCCAGAGAAAACTACGGTGTCCGACATTGTTTTTGCATATGTACACACCGACTCAACATTAATCTTAGTGACCTCCGATTGGCGTAACCGGGAGTCATTACCGCCGACGTGAATAACAATCTTACTGTATTTACGTTTATCCTTAGCCAGCAGTTTCAAATATATTATATAATATATATAATATATAATATATTTATATTAGTCTAACGTTATATTTTGTATTAGTTTAACATGTAATATTTTATATTAGTCTAACATGTTATATTTTGTATTAGTCTAACATTTTATATTTTGTATTAGTTTAACATGTAATATTTTGTATTAGTCTAACATGTTATATTTTGTATTAGTCTAACATGTTATATTTTATATTAGTCTAACATGTAATATTTTGTATTAGTCTAACATGTTATATTTTGTATTAGTCTAACATGTAATATTTTGTATTAGTCTAACATGTTATATTTTATATTAGTCTAACATGTAATATTTTGTATTAGTTTAACATGTAATATTTTGTATTAGTCTAACCTGTTATATTTTGTATTAGTTTAACATGTAATATTTTATATTAGTCTAACATGTTATATTTTGTATTAGTTTAACATGTAATATTTTATATTAGTCTAACATGTTATATTTTGTATTAGTCTAACATGTTATATTTTGTATTAGTCTAACATGTTATATTTTGTATTAGTCTAACATGTAATATTTTGTATTAGTTTAACATGTAATATTTTATATTAGTCTAACATTTTATATTTTGTATTAGTCTAACATGTTATATTTTGTATTAGTCTAACATGTAATATTTTGTATTAGTCTAACATGTAATATTTTATATTAGTCTAACATGTTATATTTTGTATTAGTCTAACATGTAATATATTGTTTTAGTCTAACATGTTATATTTTGTATTAGTCTAACATGTAATATTTTGTATTAGTCTAACATGTAATATTTTGTATTAGTCTAACATGTAATATTTTGTATTAGTCTAACATGTAATATTGTTTTAGTCTAACATGTAATATATTGTTTTAGTCTAACATGTTATATTTTGTATTAGTCTAACATGTTATATTTTGTATTAGTCTAACATGTTATATTTTATATTAGTCTAACATGTAATATTTTGTATTAGTCTAACATGTTATATTTTATATTAGTCTAACGTAATATTTTGTATTAGTCTAACGTAATATTTTGTATTGGTCTAACATGTTATATTTTGTATTAGTCTAACATGTTATATTTTGTATTAGTCTAACATGTTATATTTTGTATTAGTCTAACATGTTATATTTTGTATTAGTCTAACATGTTATATTTGTATTAGTCTAACATGTTATATTTTGTATTAGTTTAACATGTTATATTTTGTATTAGTCTAACATGTTATATTTGTATTAGTCTAACATGTAATATTTTATTAGTCTAACATGTAATATTTTGTATTAGTTTAACATGTAATAATTTATATTAGTCTTACATGTAATATTTCATATTAGTCTAATATGTAATATTTTATATTAGTTTAACATGTAATATTTTATATTAGTCTAACATGTTATATTTTACATGTAATATGTTATATTTTATGTTAGTATATTGTGCTTGTTTATAATACAGCATGACATTAACGTGTTGTTGTTATCGACCACTGGAAGGCGGCAGATCTGCTCACAGAAGTCAGAAACCTGCAAAGGGACAAATGGTGAGAAACCAGAACGAACCAATCACAGGCCGGTCTGCAGCGACAGCTCACAGTCTTCTTCTTTGTTGATGTTCAGGCTGCTGGAGGAGCAGCTGCAGGCGTGGCGGCTCGCCGTCCAATCAGAGCAGGGCATCCTGGAGGACAGATGCTCTGAGATGGAGGTCACCATGGACAAGCTGAGAGAGCACAACCTGAGTCTGCAGGGCGTGCTCACACAGGTAAACCCCGTGTATCTGTCCACGGGTGTAGTTAAACTGCTGCATGTTCAGGTTTCAGCTGCAGTCAATTTGAAGCTGCTTGTTTGTGAAATGCACCATAGGAGTTGACTTCTCTCCTTTGACCAGGCTCTGAACAGGATGGAGGCTCAACAACACGCCAACAACACGCCACGAGGCGTCGACTCGGAGACAAACACAGACGAGGAGGAAGAAGAAGTGCTGATGAATGTTCAGGTTTCAGCTTCAGTGAAAATAAAGCTCTGACTGGCTGGCTGTTGGTGAAATGCACCATGGGAGTTGTAGTTGACTTCTCTTCTTTGACCAGTTCTTTTCTAACACAGATGGAGGCTCAACAACACGCCAACAACGCGCCACAAAGCGTAGAGGAAGACAAGGAGGAAGAAGTGCTGCTGAAGACAGAGGATGAGTGGAGTGAGGACAAAGAAAAAACTCCATCTCCCACAATGCATCTGGACACACCTGTGTCATATGACACCCACTGTGAAGAGGAGGACGCTGCAGGTGACAGGTTTCTCCGTCATCCAGTAGGAAAACAGGATGAACCAGAGGAGGCAGAGCCACAGGAAGAGAACACCTGTCTGTCTGAAGAAGAAGAGAAGCATTATGGGACGTGTAGTCCAGAGGAGCTGCTGCAGGAGACTGTTGAGAGACTGAAACTTGTGATGGAGACAGACAGGTGGAGAGAGAGACAGACAGGTGAGTCACTAAGGTGAAACCAAACTATAGGCTCGTATTGATCCAGTTTACATTTACTCATTTGGCAGACGCTTTTATCCAAAGCGACTAACATTTGAGGAACAACATCCAAGCATCAACGAGGCATCAAATACAGCACAAGAACTGACAATACATACTGGCAAGAGCAGCAATAAATACTGCTGAGAGCTAATAGCATGTACTGCATCAATCGGGTAAATACCTAGGGTTAATGAAATAGGTCAATCAATAAAAGATAATTGTAAGGACACAGAAGAAGAGCACAGGAAGTGCATGTTAGAGGTTAGAGCTGCTGCGTTCTGGACCACTTGTAGGGATTTCACCGGTGAGCTGGTAGACCCACTAGGTGGGCAGAGAGGTAACCATGGCCTGGACCAGAAGCTGGGTGGCGTACTGAGTGAGGTAGGGCCTGATTTTCCTGATGTTGTACAGAGCAAAGCGGCACGACCGAGAGACAGCAGCAACATGGTCTGAAAAGGACAGATGGTCATCAATCATGACACCCAAGTTTCTCACCACCCTGGTTGGAGTGATGGTTGCGGAGTCAATTTGTAGTTAGAGAGGTTTAGTTGAAGGTGGCAAGCCTTCATCCATACAGATATGTCCGATAGACAGTCCGTGATCTGCGCCGAGACAGTGGGATCGTCTGGCAGGAAGGATAGGTAGAGTTGCGTATCGTCCGCGTAGCAGTGGTAAGAGAAGCCGTGCGAGCGAATGATCGGCCCCGGTGAGGTGGTGTAAATTGAGAAGAGAAGGGGCCCAAGCACTGAGCCTTGGGGCCCCCCTGTGATCACGTATTAGTAAATCTCAGGTCCGAGGCTGACTCCATAAAATAATCACATTTCCATTTCTGTGTCCAGGTGAGAGGAAGAGGGCGGAGCTTCTGGAGGCTGCGGGCCAGGTGGGAGACTCAATACACCACCTGGTGGACGCTGTGAGAACAAACACATGACCAGGTGACTCAGGTTATAAAAGTTGTTTATTCAACGTATCAATATTTAAAGTTATAAAACGTTGTGACACCAACAACGCGACATATCAACACCAGTACCTGAAGAAACAGCACCTCACCTGTCGGACACAAGCTGCAGGTGTGTTTAGTGTTTAGAAAGACGCCAACATTAGAATAAAATCACATCAGTTCCAACTTTCAGCTTCCATTTGTGTGCACACGTTGTTTAATTAGCATGATTCTTAACTACATTTTCATTTTCATACCAAATTAAAATTTCGAGTTCACGTTTTATTTCAATGAGATGAGATTTCATGTGTAACAAAATGTTTTTCTTTTCATGCTGCAGGACAAACATTTAATGATTTATATTTTCATGATTTCTGACTAAAATAAAAGCTTCAGTCCTGCAATGAGTTTTATTTCCATCATGGATGAAAAACTGAAAATAAAACCCTGTTTGTTTGAAAATCTGTAGTTATTGACCAAATGTTTTTATGCACCAGGAAAGAAGATTGATCAAACTGTATCTGCACACAAACGTCAAATGACTTTCAGAACGATCAGATTTCATTTTAACATTGACATCAGCTGACTTCCACAGGACGTCCAGCAGCCTCGTTTATAAACCTCGTTACTCATCAATTAAACTGATTAGTCTTTATTCAGATCCATCAGGTTAACGAGCTAATGCTGATGTTCAACTTCCTGATTTCTGTACTGACAAGTGTCTCTTCATAAAGTTCATAAATGAGGCTGCTACCTGTCCAGGCGTCTTGCTACCTGTCCAGGAGTCCTGCTACCTGTCCAGGTGTCCTTCTACCTGTCCAGGAGTCCTGCTACCTGTCCAGGTGTCCTTCTACCTGTCCAGGTGTCCTTCTACCTGTCCAGGCGTCTTGCTACCTGTCCAGGAGTCCTTCTACCTGTCCAGGCGTCTTGCTACCTGTCCAGGAGTCCTGCTACCTGTCCAGGAGTCCTGCTACCTGTCCAGGTGTGCTTCTACCTGTCCAGGCGTCCTGCTACCTGTCCAGGTGTCCTTCTACCTGTCCAGGAGTCCTGCTACCTGTCCAGGTGTCCTTCTACCTGTCCAGGCGTCCTGCTACCTGTCCAGGCGTCCTGCAACCTGTCCAGGCGTCCTGCTACCTGTCCAGGAGTCCTGCTACCTTCGCCCCCTCTCGCAGCCCCGCCCCCTCCTGGCTTTCCCCCGGCGGGGTGCAGGAGGGTGAGGCGGGCCTGGAGAGCCAGGGACTTTCCTGCTGAGTCCTGCCCGTCGCAGGCCTTCTCTCCTGGGCTGGGGGGCGTGGCCTGAGCCCTGGTCCTTCTCTTGGGGAATGGAGGTTGTGTCCTATCCCTCCTACCCCCCCTCCCCCGCTCTGACCTGCTCTGAGGGGGCGGGGCTTGAGACATCCTGCCCTGCCCTCTGACTGTTTCCTGTTTGTCAGTCTGTGCTGAGTCCTCACTGAGCGTGCCCAGAAGTAAGCTGTTGACGTGGCTGAAGGCGGTGTCTGATGACCTCTGACCTTTGACCCTGGAGGACCCTGCAGCCACCTCCCCTGGCGGCCTGTCGGTGTTCAGGTCCGGACTCAGACTTCTGAACAGCTGACGGACGCATGGCGGCGGTGGGCCGGAGGGGGCGGAGCCTCTGCGCCACAGGAAGCCCTTTGGGGGGTTCTTCAGGATGCGGTTGCTGCCGGGGTCGTAGAACCTGACAGGAAGCCGTTTGTATTTGACCTTTAACCCCTGCAGGTCCAGCGGACGCCTCTTTTTCCTGCAGCGTTTAGGGGCGGAGCCTGACAGAGGTGTGTAGGTGGAGGTGGGGCTTGAGGGGGAGCAGAGCAGGTACACTACAGAGGTGCGAGGCTGCAGCGGCGTGATAATGTTTGAATATGACGAAGGGAGGCAGCGCCACGTCTGGACATCAGGAGTCCTCTCTGCTGCTTCCTGATTGGCTGACGGTGTGTTGGTTGGCGGGGCCTCAGAAGTTGGTTGACGGACAGCTGGGACGACCAATTGGACTGTCTGAGTGCTGTGACTGACTTTCACCACCTGAGGAGACAAAACCAGTTGACGAAGATGTTTTCCTTCAAACTCCAGATACTGAAAACTGACGTTCTCACCTGACACCTGGACGCCACCCTGAAGGCCCGCCTCTTTCTCTTCCTCCTGATGTACGCTGAGTCATCTTCATCACGGTCCAATAAAGGCAGGACGCCAGGGTCTGTCCCCGCCTCCTTGTTATCACTACGCCCCTTCTTGCTGTGGCTCCTCCTACCATACCTGACAGCGATGACATCAGCAGAAAAACTACAGCTCAGCAAATTGTGATTTTATATGTGAATACATATCACAGTACAGGTGAGTTTACATATCACAGTACAGGTGAGTTTACATATCACAGTACAGGTGAGTTTACATATCACAGTACAGGTGAGTTTACATATCACAGTACAGGTGAATGTATATTTCACAGTACAGGTGAGTTTACATATCACAGTACAGGTGAATGTACATATCATAGTACAGGTGAATGTATATTTCACAGTACAGGTGAGTTTACATATCACAGTACAGGTGAATGTACATATCACAGTACAGGTGAATGTATATTTCACAGTACAGGTGAGTGTACATATCACAGTACAGGTGAGTTTACATATCACAGTACAGGTGAGTTTACATATCACAGTACAGGTGAGTTTACATATCACAGTACAGGTGAGTTTACATATCACAGTACAGGTGAATGTACATTTCACAGTACAGGTGAGTGTACATATCACAGTACAGGTGAGTTTACATATCACAGTACAGGTGAATGTATATTTCACAGCACAGGTGAGTTTACATATCGCAGTACAGGTGAGTTTACATATCGCAGTACAGGTGAGTTTACATATCGCAGTACAGGTGAGTTTACATATCACAGTACAGGTGAGTTTACATATCACAGTACAGGTGAATGTATATTTCACAGTACAGGTGAGTTTACATATCACAGTACAGGTGAATGTATATTTCACAGTACAGGTGAGTTTACATATCACAGTACAGGTGAATGTATATTTCACAGTACAGGTGAGTTTACATATCACAGTACAGGTGAATGTATATTTCACAGTACAGGTGAGTTTACATATCACAGTACAGGTGAATGTATATTTCACAGTACAGGTGAGTTTACATATCACAGTTGTAGTGGACCTAAATTTATTAGTTATGCATTTTAATAAATTTATGAGAATTGATACCCAATTATGAATTATTATTCATAAAATCAGAATTTCCTCGTTAAGGGCACCACCGGAGTTGTTATAATCCTAGAGTCTCCGGACCTCTAGGTAGTTTTGAATAATTATACAATTATTACTAGTGATCAGATAGTTAATAATCGCTCAATTATCTTAAATCAGTCAGTCAGTCTCATATCTAAAGGGTCAATTCTCTTGGCAGGAACTATAAATAGGCAACACACACAGCTCTTGATTATATTACAGTGAATTTATTCTCTAACTAAGGTGATAAAAAGATGGTTGGATACAGGGAACATAAACATTTGCTGAACAATGAGCCTGGAGGTTCGATTGTGGGAAGCATTTGACTCATACGGCATAGAAGAGCTACTGAAAGTAAACTAATGCTGTGATTTAGGAGTTAAAATGGACGTCTGATCACAGAACGTGTGTTAAGTCTTACTGCTTGTCGACAGCCTGCTTTTGGCCTGTTGCACGGGTCCCACTCTAGCTGCCGATCCTGGCTTTTTGCTAGGGATTCCCCGGGGTTCTCCGTGTCTGATTGAAAACGCCTCCTCCGTCTGGCAATTCGGCTGTTTTCAGGTTTCCTTGGTTGTAGCTGGCGAGACCACGTGGCTTGGTCTGACCTCGGTGAAGTTGGCTTGACGAAAAAGGCTTAAAAATGGAACTTGGTCGTTCCTGAATTAGTCCAGTGTAACTTAACGGACTGATAACTTTAACAAACAAAAGAAATAAAGAAAATAAAACAAACTGAAGGCAGATCGATGTCTCGGCACTTCAGGTGTGTAGCTTCAGGCGAACAAAGGCCTGTTTGTTTCACTGGCTGAGTCTGGGCGTGTTGCCTGGTGAGGCACGCCACGCGCGTGCCGAAGCGTCCAGAGGGCAGAGTGGAAGAGCGAGAAGAGGGAAGAGACTGGCGAGCAGGTCGCATGTCGCTCTTTTGTTGCCTGGGCCGTGGTTCCCCAGGGGGCGTCTCAGGTTTCCCAAGGAACTGCCTTTCTAAACTTAATGTCTAAAGGAAAGAAATCTATTTGCACGTATTATAATCAAATATTTTCCACAATCGAACCTCAATGGTTGAACGGTTGTAATGTTCTAAGCATTTGGTAAATTGTCACATTATTGGTCAGGATTTTTATACATTTAACCGCATTTCCGACGAGGGCATGTAATACTTATTTCGTCCACTTGGGGGAGCTCAGGTTACATGAGGAAAGCTTGGATTAAATCAAAGATCGTCTCTCCTTAGGAACCGGGGAATATTGTTGATTCATCCTTAAATTCAAGCTGGCGATTAAGAGTATAGTAAAACATTTCTTTGTCATCATTTCTAAAGGAATTTTGTAAGAAAGTATTATGAACAAGCATTGATTACATTAGATGAAGGAGTGTCTTGCTGAAAATAAAAACACTGCACAAGTAACTTCTTTTCAGCACTAATATCAACAACAGATAGCAACAACAGTTAACATAACTGCTCAAATAGAGGCAAACGTATTCAGGCAACTAAAGATTTAATTAACTTAATTAAATGCTTTGAGTATTTTGGAGACTGCAGTCCTTTGTCATCTAAAGTTCAGTGTCTGGAACATGTCACACTTAGGTGAGACAAGGAGTATCCTTTTGATGTGGTAATAAAACAAAGAATAAGGTCAGTTTCCACGGAAACGTGTGTGGTGGGGTAAGTTTTGATAGGCTGTTCAGGGAGATGCCAATGGCTGGTTCGTGTCCCTTTGTCAGTTTAACAGTCAGGCCCCGCGTTATCAGCTTCGGAATCAAAAGGTGCCAGTTTTATGGTCGGGCTAGCACTTAGAGAAAGCAACTTTGACCCCTCCCCATCTTCTCTGGGGAGGAGAAAGGAATTTAGGGTAGCTCCACATTCATTCAATATAAAATGCACAAATCCACATCGTTGTTCACTACACAGTACAGGTGAATGTATATTTCACAGTAGAGGTGAGTTTACATATCACAGTACAGGTGAATGTATATTTCACAGTACAGGTGAATGTATATTTCACAGTAGAGGTGAGTTTACATATCACAGTACAGGTGAATGTATATTTCACAGTACAGGTGAATGTATATTTCACAGTAGAGGTGAGTTTACATATCACAGTACAGGTGAATGTATATTTCACAGTACAGGTGAATGTATATTTCACAGTACAGGTGAGTTTACATATCACAGTACAGGTGAATGTATATTTCACAGCACAGGTGAGTTTACATATCGCAGTACAGGTGAGCGTACATATCGCAGTACAGGTGAGTGACTGTGTATATCGCAGTACAGGTGAGTGACTGTGTATATCGCAGTACAGGTGAGTGACTATGTATATCGCAGTACAGGTGAGTGTGTATTACCTGGCCAGAGACTCTGTGTCGAAGTAGCAGATAAATCTCTCCTGTCTGAATTGTCGGACCAATTTGTCCACCTTCTCCTCGTCCTCCTGTTCGATCTGGGCCCAAGTCTTCCCCCTGAAGGACTCTGGGATATATGCTGGGGCCGGCAGGACCTCCTCTATCGGCAGAGTCCAGAAGCCCTCGTCCTTCCGGGCCCCGTTACCAGTACGCCGCTCACTGTGGAGGGCAGAGTCGAGCTGGTGCGAGTACACCTGGTCATCCAGGTCCACCTGAACGTCCATCAGGCGGCTGAGGTCCTGCTCCTCCATCTGGCTCACCTGGACAGGTGTGTTACTGAGTGTTGGTCCTCGCTGTAAAACCACCTGGAGAGAAAAGTTTCTATCTTTAGAACAAATAGAAACCAATGTAATCCCCCATACCTGTGCCTCACTAACTCTTACCTGGACAGGTGAGTCCCAGTCGTCACTCTGTGTTTCCATGGAGACTGGAAGGCTGAAGTGGAAGCGCTCTGTCTCCCGCTGGTGGCAGGAAGTGGAACTGACGCCATAACAACACATCTGGATCACCTGATGTTCAACACAGAAATAAAGCACGTTAAGTTGTGTAAAGGTTTGTGAAGTGACGTCTTGAAACCAATTAACCTAACTTTAACAAATGAGAGGATTCCCCGAAGAGATGACTGTAACGAACGAGAGGATTCCCCCGAAGAGATGACTGTAACGAACGAGAGGATTCCCCGAAGAGATGACTGAAACAAACGGCAGGATACCCCGAAGAGATGACTGTAACGAACGAGAGGATTCCCCGAAGAGATGACTGTAACGAACGAGAGGATTCCCCGAAGAGATGACTGTAACGAACGAGAGGATTCCCCCGAAGAGATGACTGTAACGAACGAGAGGATTCCCCGAAGAGATGACTGAAACAAACGGCAGGATACCCCGAAGAGATGACTGTAACGAACGAGAGGATTCCCCGAAGAGATGACTGTAACGAACGAGAGGAATCCCCGAAGAGATGACTGTAACGAACGAGAGGATTCCCCGAAGAGATGACTGTAACGAACGAGAGGAATCCCCGAAGAGATGACTGTAACGAACGAGAGGAATCCCCGAAGAGATGACTGTAACGAACGAGAGGATACCCCGAAGAGATGACTGTAAGGAACGAGAGGATACCCCGAAGAGATGACTGTAACGAACGAGAGGATTCCCCGAAGAGATGACTTTAAGGAACCCCGAAGAGATGACTGTAAGGAACGAGAGGATACCCTGAAGAGATGACTGTAACGAACGAGAGGATACCCTGAAGAGATGACTGTAACGAACGAGAGGATACCCCGAAGAGATGACTGAAACAAACAGCAGGATACCCCGAAGAGATGACTGTAACAAACGGCAGGATACCCCGAAGAGATGACTGTAACGAACGAGAGGATACCCCGAAGAGATGACTGTAAGGAACGAGAGGATACCCCGAAGAGATGACTGAAACAAACAGCAGGATACCCCGAAGAGATGACTGTAACAAACAGCAGGATACCCCGAAGAGATGACTGTAACAAACGGCAGGATACCCCGAAGAGGTGACTGTAACGAACGAGAGGATTCCCCGAAGAGATGACTTTAAGGAACGAGAGGATTCCCCGAAGAGATGACTGTAACGAACGAGAGGATTCCCCGAAGAGATGACTTTAAGGAACGAGAGGATTCCCCGAAGAGATGACTGTAACGAACGAGAGGATTCCCCGAAGAGATGACTTTAAGGAACGAGAGGATACCCCGAAGAGATGACTTTAAGGAACCCCGAAGAGATGACTGTAAGGAACGAGAGGATACCCTGAAGAGATGACTTTAAGGAACGAGAGGATACCCCGAAGAGATGACTTTAAGGAACCCCGAAGAGATGACTGTAACGAACGAGAGGATACCCCGAAGAGATGACTGTAACGAACGAGAGGATTCCCCGAAGAGATGACTGTAAGGAACGAGAGGATACCCCGAAGAGATGACTTTAAGGAACGAGAGGATACCCCGAAGAGATGACTTTAAGGAACCCCGAAGAGATGACTGTAAGGAACGAGAGGATTCCCCGAAGAGATGACTTTAAGGAACCCCGAAGAGGTGACTGAAACGAACGGGAGGATTCCCCGAAGAGGTGACTTTAAGGAAGGAGAGGATACCCCGAAGAGATGACTTTAAGGAACCCCGAAGAGATGACTGTAAGGAACGAGAGGATACCCCGAAGAGGTGACTGAAAAGGACGGGAGGATTCCCCGAAGAGGTGACTTTAAGGAAGGAGAGGATACCCCGAAGAGATGACTTTAAGGAACCCCGAAGAGATGACTGTAAGGAACGAGAGGATACCCCGAAGAGATGACTTTAAGGAACCCCGAAGAGATGACAGTAAGGAACGAGAGGATACCCCGAAGAGATGACTGAAACAAATGGGAGGATACCCCGAAGAGGTGACTGAAACGAACGGGAGGATTCCCCGAAGAGGTGACTGAAACGAACGGGAGGATTCCCCGAAGAGGTGACTTTAAGGAACAAGAGGATTCCCCGAAGAGGTGACTTTAAGGAACGAGAGGATTCCCCAAAGAGATGACTGTAAGGAACGAGAGGATACCCCTGTAAGGAACGAGAGGATACCCCGAAGAGATGACTTTAAGGAACGAGAGGATACCCCGAAGAGATGACTGTAAGGAAGGAGAGGATACCCCAAAGAGGTGACTGAAACGAACAAGAGGATACCCAGAAGAGATGACTTTAAGGAACCCCGAAGAGATGACTGTAAGGAACGAGAGGATACCCCGAAGAGATGACTTTAAGGAACGAGAGGATACCCCGAAGAGATGACTGTAAGGAACGAGAGGATACCCCTGTAACGAATGAGAGGATTCCCCGAAGAGATGACTTTAAGGAACGAGAGGATTCCCCGAAGAGGTGACTGTAAGGAACCCCGAAGAGATGACTTTAAAGAACCCCGAAGAGATGCCTGTAAGGAACGAGAGGATACCCCGAAGAGATGACTGTAAGGAACCCCGAAGAGATGACTTTAAGGAACCCCAAAGAGATGACTTTAAGGAACCCCGAAGAGATGACTGTAAGGAACGAGAGGATACCCCGAAGAGATGACTTTAAGGAACGAGAGGATACCCCGAAGAGATGACTGTAAGGAACGAGAGGATACCCCTGTAAGGAACGAGAGGATACCCCGAAGAGATGACTTTAAGGAACGAGAGGATACCCCGAAGAGATGACTGTAAGGAACGAGAGGATACCCCTGTAACGAACGAGAGGATTCCCCGAAGAGGTGACTGTAACGAACGAGAGGATTCCCCGAAGAGATGACTTTAAGGAACGAGAGGATTCCCCGAAGAGGTGACTGTAAGGAACCCCGAAGAGATGACTTTAAAGAACCCCGAAGAGATGCCTGTAAGGAACGAGAGGATACCCCGAAGAGATGACTTTAAGGAACGAGATGATACCCCGAAGAGGTGACTGAAACGAACGGGAGGATACCCCGAAGAGATGACTGTAAGGAATGAGAGGATACCCCGAAGAGGTGACTTTAAGGAACGAGAGGATTCCCCGAAGAGGTGACTGTAACGAACGAGAGGATTCCCCGAAGAGATGACTTTAAGGAACGAGAGGATTCCCCGAAGAGGTGACTGTAAGGAACCCCGAAGAGATGACTTTAAAGAACCCCGAAGAGATGACTGTAAGGAACGAGAGGATACCCCGAAGAGATGACTGTAAGGAACCCCGAAGAGATGACTTTAAAGAACCCCGAAGAGATGACTGTAAGGAACGAGAGGATACCCCGAAGAGATGACTGTAAGGAACCCCGAAGAGATAACTTTAAGGATCCCCAAAGAGATGACTTTAAGGAACCCCGAAGAGATGACTGTAAGGAACGAGATGATACCCCGAAGAGGTGACTGAAACGAACGGGAGGATACCCCGAAGAGATGACTGTAAGGAACGAGAGGATACCCCGAAGAGGTGACTTTAAGGAACGAGAGGATCCCCGAAGAGGTGACTGAAACGAACGGGAGGATTCCCCGAAGAGATGACTGTAACGAACGAGAGGATTTCCCGAAGAGATGACTTTAAGGAACCCCGAGGAGGTGACTGTAAGGAACGAGAGGATACCCCGAAGAGATGACTGTAAGGAACGAGAGGACACCCCGAAGAGATGACTGTAACGAACGAGAGGATACCCCGAAGAGATGACTGTAAGGAAGGAGAGGACACCCCGAAGAGATGACTGTAAGGAAGGAGAGGACACCCCGAAGAGATGACTTTAAGGAACCCCGAAGAGGTGACTGTAACGAACGAGAGGATACCCCGAAGAGATGACTGTAAGGAACGAGAGGACACCCCGAAGAGATGACTGTAAGGAAGGAGAGGACACCCCGAAGAGATGACTTTAAGGAACCCCGAAGAGGTGACTGTAACGAACGAGAGGATACCCCGAAGAGATGACTGTAAGGAACGAGAGGACACCCCGAAGAGATGACTGTAAGGAAGGAGAGGACACCCCGAAGAGATGACTTTAAGGAACCCCGAAGAGGTGACTGTAACGAACGAGAGGATACCCCGAAGAGATGACTGTAAGGAACGAGAGGATACCCTGAAGAGATGACTGTAAGGAACGAGAGGATACCCTGAAGAGATGACTGTAAGGAACGAGAGGATACCCTGAAGAGATGACTGTAAGGAACGAGAGGATACCCTGAAGAGATGACTGTAAGGAACGAGAGGATACCCCGAAGAGATGACTGTAAGGAAGGAGAGGACACCCCGAAGAGATGACTTTAAGGAACCCCGAAGAGGTGACTGTAACGAACGAGAGGATACCCCGAAGAGATGACTGTAAGGAACGAGAGGATACCCTGAAGAGATGACTGTAAGGAACGAGAGGATACCCTGAAGAGATGACTGTAAGGAACGAGAGGATACCCTGAAGAGATGACTGTAAGGAACGAGAGGATACCCTGAAGAGATGACTGTAAGGAACGAGAGGATACCCACGAAGAGATGACTTTAAGGAACGAGAGGATACCCCAATGAGATGACTGTAAGGAACGAGAGGATACCCACGAAGAGATGACTTTAAGGAACGAGAGGATACCCCGAAGAGATGACTGTAAGGAACGAGAGGATACCCACGAAGAGATGACTTTAAGGAACGAGAGGATACCCCGAAGAGATGACTGTAAGGAACGAGAGGATACCCCGAAGAGATGACTGTAAGGAACGAGAGGATACCCACGAAGAGATGACTTTAAGGAACGAGAGGATACCCCGAAGAGATGACTTTAAGGAACGAGAGGATACCCCGAAGAGATGACTGTAAGGAACGAGAGGATACCCCGAAGAGATGACTGTAAGGAACGAGAGGATACCCACGAAGAGATGACTTTAAGGAACGAGAGGATACCCCGAAGAGATGACTGTAAGGAACGAGAGGATACCCCGAAGAGATGACTTTAAGGAACGAGAGGATACCCCGAAGAGATGACTTTAAGGAACGAGAGGATACCCCGAAGAGATGACTTTAAGGAACGAGAGGATACCCCGAAGAGATGACTTTAAGGAACGAGAGGATACCCACGAAGAGATGACTGTAAGGAACGAGAGGATACCCCGAAGAGATGACTGTAACGAACGAGAGGATTCCCCGAAGAGATGACTGTAACGAACGAGAGGATTCCCCGAAGAGATGACTGTAACGAACGAGAGGATACCCCGAAGAGATGACTGTAACGAACGAGAGGATACCCTGAAGAGATGACTTATTTAAGATGATAAAAAACATAATTGACTGTAAAAGACAAACCTCCTCGATAGTCTGGTCCAGGGGGTCACTGTGGTCTGAGGAGAAGGCCTCCTCTTTATGAGCCTCTCTCCTCTCCTTCTGCCAGCTCAGCCAAGGCCTTAGCTCTGATGGGGGGCATTTTCCAGGGTGTGGACCCGGACTCAGGGAGGGGCTCAGCTCTAACGGGGGACAAGTTCTGTGGCCAAGACCAGGAGTAAGGGAGGGCCTGAGCTCTGATGGTTGACAGGTTCCGGGGTCAAGACCAGGAGTCAGGGAGGGCCTCAGCTCTGAGGAGGGTTGGGGACCAGGACCTGAATCCCTGTGGGGCGGTGAGGGGGACAAGGACTCGCTGGTTTTCCTCCTGTTCGTCTTCCTGTGGGCCTTCCTGTGGACAGGAGGCGGGGTCTGTGCGTGTGATGAATGTGTGTGCCCTGGAGGGGCGGCCCCTCCTTCCTCCCGCTCTCTGATTGGTGTAGACACCCTCTCCTGACCCGCCCCCTCTATGACTCTCTTTGACTGACTGGCCGGCTGACAGGAGGCGTCGTCAGACCTAGGCAATTGTTCTCGGGTGCCGAGTGACCGGCTGTCGTCGTCAGAGAAACGGAGTTCATCAAGTTCCTCCCTCGGCAACGGAGGGGCGGCGACTGAGGGGAGGTCAGCGTGAGACGGCCTGACGGGGACACAAACATGTCAACGTATCAAACATGAGTACTGCAGCAGGAGAGGTGAGTTTGTTTATATCACCACAAGTCAGAGGTCAAAGGGAGTGTAACCTACTCAGAGTTATCAAGAAAACTCAGGGTTGACAAACTCTGACTGCTACACAAGATGTTGGCTATTGTTTGGAAGGAAGAGGAGAGCTGTGTGCTGCAGCTCACTGTTTCTGAGGGAGTGTCGGAGTAGGCTTGGCGAGCGTTATGACGCACATTTAGCTTTCATCCCTGTCATCCCTGTCACCCCGTCATAGGGATGAAAGGTAAGCGGCTGGACTCCAAACAAGCTGTTTTCAGTTCAGAGCAGAGTTTTCTGTTGGAGGTGGGAACTCCCTTTGGGCTGGACTTTTTCACTTTGCAAACCTGTTACATGCACAAAAAAGGTATATAATTCAATAAAGGAGAGGGGAAAAGACAAAAAGCAGACCTCTTTAACTGCATGTTAGGTCCACTATTATAAAACCAGCCAGGAGCCCGAAGAGAGCGGTAATAATCTGAGAAAAAATTCAGACTTTCAGTTACCTGGGGTCGTTGTAGCGGTGCGACTGTGTTTGTTTTAGCTATCTGGGGACGTTGTAGCGGGGCGGGTATGTTTGTTTCAGCTATCTGGGGACATTATAGCGGGGAGGGTATGTTTGTTTCAGTTACCCGGGGTCGTCGTAGCGGTGCGAGTATGTTTGTTTCAGTTACCTTGGGTCGTCGTAACAGTGCGGGTATGTTTGTTTCAGTTACCTTGGGTCGTCGTAACAGTGCGGGTATGTTTCAGTTACCGGGGTCGTCGTAGCGGTGCGGGTATGTTTCAGTTACCGGGGTCGTTGTAGCGGTGCGGGTATGTTTGTTTCAGTTACCCAGGGTCGTCGTAGCGGTGCGGGTATGTTTGTTTCAGTTACCTTGGTCGTTGTAGCGGTGCGGGTATGTTTCAGTTACCCGGGGTCGTTGTAGCGGTGCGACTGTGTTTGTTTTAGCTATCTGGGGACGTTGTAGCGGGGCGGGTATGTTTGTTTCAGCTATCTGGGGACATTATAGCGGGGAGGGTATGTTTGTTTCAGTTACCCGGGGTCGTCGTAGCGGTGCGAGTATGTTTGTTTCAGTTACCTTGGGTCGTCGTAACAGTGCGGGTATGTTTGTTTCAGTTACCTTGGGTCGTCGTAACAGTGCGGGTATGTTTCAGTTACCGGGGTCGTTGTAGCGGTGCGGGTATGTTTGTTTCAGTTACCCAGGGTCGTCGTAGCGGTGCGGGTATGTTTGTTTCAGTTACCTTGGTCGTTGTAGCGGTGCGGGTATGTTTCAGTTACCCGGGGTCGTTGTAGCGGTGCGGGTATGTTTGTTTCAGTTACCCGGGGTCGTCGTAGCGGTGCGGGTATGTTTGTTTCAGTTACCTTGGTCGTCGTAGCGGTGCTGGTATGTTTGTCTCAGTTACCCGGGGTCGTTGTAGCGGTGCGGGTATGTTTGTTTCAGTTACCCGGGGTCATTGTAGCGGTGCAGGTATGTTTGTTTCAGTTACCCGGGGTCGTCGTAGCGGTGCGGGTATGTTTGTTTCAGTTACCTGGGATTGTCGTAGCGGTGCGGGTCTGTTTCAGCTACCTGGGGTCGTCGTAGCGGTGCGGGTATGTTTCAGTTACCGGGGTCGTCGTAGCGGTGCGGGTATGTTTGTTTCAGTTACCTTGGTCGTCGTTGCGGTGCGGGTATGTTTCAGTTACCCGGGGTCGTCGTAGCGGTGCGGGTATGTTTTGTTTCAGTTACCCGGGGTCGTCGTAGCGGTGCGGGTCTGTTTGTTTCAGTTACCTTGGGTCGTCGTAGCGGTGCGAGTATGTTTCAGTTACCCAGGGTCGTCGTAGCGGTGCGGGTATGTTTGTTTCAGTTACCTTGGTCGTCGTAGCGGTGCGGGTATGTTTCAGTTACCCGGGGTCGTCGTAGCGGTGCGGGTATGTTTGTTTCAGTTACCCGGGGTCGTCGTAGCGGTGCGGGTCTGTTTGTTTCAGTTACCTTGGTCGTCGTAGTGGTGCGGGTATGTTTCAGTTACCCGGGGTCGTCGTAGCGGTGTGGGTATGTTTCAGTTACCTGGGGTCGTTGTAGCGGTGCGGGTATGTTTGTTTCAGTTACCTGGGGTCGTCGTAGCGGTGCGGGTCTGTTTGTTTGTAGCGGTGCGGGTATGTTTGTTTCAGTTACCTTGGTCGTCGTAGCGGTGCGGGTATGTTTCAGTTACCCGGGGTCGTCGTAGCGGTGCGGGTATGTTTGTTTCAGTTACCCGGGGTCGTCGTAGCGGTGCGGGTCTGTTTGTTTCAGTTACCTTGGTCGTCGTAGTGGTGCGGGTATGTTTCAGTTACCCGGGGTCGTCGTAGCGGTGTGGGTATGTTTCAGTTACCTGGGGTCGTTGTAGCGGTGCGGGTATGTTTGTTTCAGTTACCTGGGGTCGTCGTAGCGGTGCGGGTCTGTTTGTTTGTAGCGGGGCGGGTATGTTTGTTTCAGTTAACCAGGGTCGTCGTAGCGGTGCGGGTATGTTTGTTTCAGTTACCTGGGGTCATCATAGCGGTGCGGGTATGTTTGTTTCAGTTACCCAGGGTCGTCGTAGCGGTGCGGGTCTGTTTGTTTCAGTTACCTGGGGTCGTCATAGCGGTGCGGGTATGTTTCAGTTACCTTGGTCGTCGTAGCGGTGCTGGTATGTTTGTCTCAGTTACCCGGGGTCGTTGTAGCGGTGCGGGTATGTTTGTTTCAGTTACCCGGGGTCATTGTAGCGGTGCAGGTATGTTTGTTTCAGTTACCCGGGGTCGTCGTAGCGGTGCGGGTATGTTTGTTTCAGTTACCCAGGGTCGTCGTAGCGGTGCGGGTCTGTTTGTTTCAGTTACCTGGGGTCGTCATAGCGGTGCGGGTATGTTTCAGTTACCTGGGGTCGCCGTAGCAGCGCGGGTTTGTTTGTTTCAGTTACCTGGGGTCGTTGTAGCGGTGCGGGTGGTGGTGTAGGACGTCCTGCAGGAAGCGCTCCAGCAGGGTTAGTTTGGTTCTGCTACTGCTGGTGGAGGAGACAGTGCTGGAGCCTCGGGAGGACGCCCGGACAGAATCCAGGTGTCGGAGGCTGGACAGGTGCTGAGAGAACAGACAGGAAAACGGTGTGCGGCCTGCTCTATTCTGATTGGACAGCTCAGGTCACATGACTGCAGCTTGAGGTGTAAAGTCTGTACCTGTTCCAGGTTGCTGTAAAGGACTCTGCAGTATCCACAATAACCCTGTCTGCTGGGCTGACACCTGGAAGGACCCGGCTGAGACTCCGCCCACATCCTGTCAGACACAGAGAGGGAGAAAAAACCCTCTATCTAAAAGCAGGATTCAGTATAAACGTGTAAAATATGATCATAGAAAGGAGTAAAAACCTGAGTAACATGATCCTGACTACAGAAACACCTGAACATCACGCAGAACATTTATAGAAACTGACTATGTTTTCAAAAATGCAAATACATTTCTAGAAAACATACCTGAAGAGTCTAATAACCAAACACATGTCAACAGAGAGAATAACCAACAGGTAGACTCACCTGCGGGTAGACTCCGCCTTCCACTGGTCATCTGACACACACACAAACACAGTTAAATCAGGGAAGTAAATCTAAAATCTAAAACCACAGTGTGTTTGTGTTTTTACCTTCATCAGAGGAGTCAGACATCCTGCTGCTGGCTGGAGATCTGAAACACGTCAACATAAAATATTATCATTATTCTGAATGACCACCAACAACCTCACCTGTTCATTTAACATTAATTACGCTAATGGTCGGTCACCTGGAGGCAGTGCAGTCAGTGAGTTATCTGTCCAATCAGAGCGCGCCATGCTGTAACCAACGGTAACCAGGTGAGAGTTTCAGGTGGAGAGTCCATGAGCCTGAAGACAGAAACAGGTGACGCTAACAGCAAACATTGACGATGATATGATTAATAAACGGGAGCTGGTCGTATTTAATCAATAAAAAGTTTTTAATTAGCGAGAAAGAAATGGAAGTTAAACACAAACTGTTTCTCTGTGACGGTTTATTAAACTAAATATTAAAATATAAACCCTATTATAATAATAATAATATAATAATAGGTACGCGACTGTCTCCGCTATCCACGGCTGCCATCTTGGTCACGACAGACGTTTCCTCAGGCGACCTTCCAGGTTTGATTAATGACACCTCCTCGTTTCACGTCTTTAACGCTGAAATACTGTGAGCGCGGCGTCACAAAACCGTCCCGTTTGTGCTGAAAGTGAGTAAAACCCTGTGGGGTAGCTTCAGGGTAGGGGTAGTACAAGTGAAGGAAGTTTCAATTTGGACGACCACGGTGGGAGTTTGATCAACAACGGACCCAGAAGGTGAGACTGCTGGAGCCGTGCAGTCACACAGGTGTTTCGATGGAAAACAGTCTTTACTGAACCATTAAATCATTTCAAAGGAGCTCTTCCTGTCTGTATTTGTTTCAGCATTTAACCACGCTGGACATTTTGCTCACGCACCTAATAAAGGAGCTGTGGTTCAGAAGTTCAGACCTCTTCATCGCATGCCGATCAGAATCAGTTCAGTCAGCTCAGAGTATGTTGAGCCAGATGGAAACGCGTGCGTGGGGATGAAAAAAAGCCTCATCAATGGAGCTCCGATAATACGATTCACCATGGCAACGGGTAAATAAAGGCAGAGCCTCCATTTTAATCGGGTGGAGCTAGAAATATGAACGCTGCCAACGCACAACATGATTGGCTCTAAAACGCAGGAGCGGAGGATCGATGCGTTAAAAATACTACATTTTATACAGCGTTGCTCATTCATCATTTACCAGACTGGAGTTTCCTTAATGAATGATGAAGTGGTGAATTCTCCTGCAGTTTATTCATTTTAAACAGCTACAGGTCTGTTTATTCAGCTGGAACCTGACAGGACTAAATGCCGGTGGCAATAACTGAAGATGAAAATATTAATCAAACAGATCAGACACAGTTTAGGCTCCTCATGGACCTGTGGTTGAAAAGTGACAGTCAGGCTCAGCAGGTCTATTAATGATTTTGAGTAAAATGTGTCCAGGTTCAAACTAATAATATCTAACTAATAAAATCTGGCTCATTTTGTATTTTATGAAATGCTGTCAAAACACATTCAGACTGTCAGCAGATAATGAAAAACTCCATGTATTAGTTTCAGCTGCACCAGAGTCATCCTCACTCAGAGGAGTAATCAATCTGTGCGACTACAACATGAGAGGTCACTGTTCTCTGATCAGTTTAAACAGCACGCTAAGTGTTTTGCCTTCATGTACACAGAGTTATAAAGGAGGACAGAGCAGCTTATAGATTTAATTCTGTGCTGAGGATAAATCCACGATGTCCAAAGATAACTCTCTGTCCGCACATCGATGACAGAAAGCGTCATGTTGGGGTTAGAAAAACAGCCTCTTTAACCGTGATTCGGACCGTCTGCAGGAGGAAATGTCAGACAGTTCAGGCTCCGCGTTCGTTAAACCTCCTCCCAGCAGGTCAGCTTCACAGCATCAGGGGTTACTGACCCGCAGTTTCTCTCATCTGGGCTCAACTTTCTCAGTTTTCACTAAACCCGCTTTCTGAAATGTAAATGACGTCAGAGCCGCTCTCTGCCTGGACCAATCACAGCGCGGCGGCAGCTGCGCTCTGATTGGCTGACTGTGTGAAGCTAACTAGCTGCGGCGCTAACGGCTCCGGTTTAATCCCGGTTCGGTTAAACCGGGTCAAACTCCCGGGTCGGCCCGAACACGCGGTAACCATGGTAACGCCGCGGACGGTGACGTGTCTCCGCCGTTACAGCTGCTGTTAGCAGCCGGCTAGCCGTTAGCATGCTGTTAGCTGAGCGGGCGTCCTGCAGCGACGCTGATTGGCTGGCTCTAGTGAAGCACGCCGAGGTGCAATAAGGGACGATTGTGTTTGTTTACCTGCAGATGCTTGTTGTTGTTGTTTACTTTCACAGAGATTAAAATGTTCTTCCGCCGCGCGCTGCTCTGCCGCGCTGTTTAGGTTCCGGTCTGACTCTTCTTCTGCGGCGGGATTTCCGGCAGGGCGGGAATCTGGCGCTCGGAGGCGGGGCAGCGCCGCCGCCAGCAGGCCGGAGAGGGAACTGCACCCGCACGGACTCCAGGGTGCGGGACCCAGAGACGGATCCGGGTTTATGATCTGAGCGGTGTTTGTGTGCGTGCTGTCGGGTCTGTTCATCAGCACAGTGATACACAATACGTGTATTTACACACACAGTATTCATGGTGTATTTATACACAGTTCACATATTTATACACAGTTCACGTAGGCACACGGTTAAATCTCAGGTTCAGTTTTTTAGGCCCAGCTGTTAGAACTTCCTGTCGTCGCTCAACATTTAAACAGAGACGCGGCGTGTTGGACGCCTGAAAGAACCACAGCAGCGTGTTGTGTTCAAGTGCTTTTTATTAACGTTTCAGGTTTCAGATCTTGTTGAAAGCAGCGACGTCCATCGACTGGACGAAGTCCTCGAAAGCCGTGATGTGTTCCTCCAGGATGTCTGTGCCCACCTGTGGACAGGTAACCACAAGGCAGGTGAGAGACAGGGACAGGCAAAGGCGGGGCCCCGCAGGTAAACAGGCAAAGGCGGGGCCCCGCAGGTAAACAGGCAAAGGCAAAGGCGGGGCCCCGCAGGTAAACAGGCAAAGGCGGGGCCCCGCAGGTAAACAGGCAAAGGCGGGGCCCCGCAGGTAAACAGGCAAAGGCGGGGCCCCGCAGGTAAACAGGCAAAGGCGGGGCCCCGCAGGTAGACATGCTCACCTTGTCGTCCTCCACCACGCAGCCGATCTGCAGCTTCTTGATGCCGTAACCCACGGGAACCAGTTTGGCTGCAGAGAGATCAGATCATCGTTAATAATCAGTACGTCTGAAACTGATCGCAGGTCAGTTTGTTTCTGCAGCTTCAGATCATGAAGTTTCATCTGATGTTCAGCCGAAAGATGGTGAGTGAGATCATCATCAGCCTGCAGACAGAGACCCGTCAGTACTGTAGTACTGTGTAGTACTGTGTAGTGTTACTGCAGTATTCTTACACTGTCCCCAGACCAGCCCGTCCATCTGGATACTGCGGACGCACTCCTCCAGCTTCGCCATGTCCGTCTCGTCGTCCCACGGCTTCACGTCCAACAGGATCGAGGATTTGGCGATGAGGGCGGGTTCTGAGGAGGGAGGGGAGGAGTCAGTTACCATGGAAACAGCTCTGCGCCATAGAGCCCTCTGATTGGAGGACTCTCTCAGGTAAACAAGGCGTCCATCAGGCAGTCAGCCGAAAGATGGTGATTGGTTGATCATCATGAAGAGTCGACATGAAAAAAAATAAATCCCGACCCCACACTGACAGACCGACCATGTGACCCCGTTAGCGACCCTGTGACTGGTAGTCGTCGGTAACCTACTCTTTGACTTCTTGGCGGCGTACTCTGCCAGACGTGCCTCTTTCAGCCTGGCGGCCTCTGCGTCTTCCTGCCAGACAAATCCCAGGGACAATGTAAACACACTGAAACTGAATGAATCAACATCTTTGACGCCACTGTGACATCACCACGGCCTCACCTCCTCGTCGGAGCCGAACAGGTCGATGTCATCGTCGTCCTCCTCCTTGGAAGCGGGGGCGGAGCCGGCGGTGGCGTCGGCCACACTCGCGGGGCCGTACTGACCCAGGGGCTTCTTCACACCTGGAAGACTGACAACAGGAGGAGGCGGGGCTTACTTCACTGGCGTCCCACACCCGCGCACCCCTACACCCTGATGATGTCAGCGTCCTCACCTGTTCTTCTGGTTCTGGTACGACTTGATGTGGTTGAACCAGCGGAGGGCGTGGCACAGGTCAGCCGAGGGGGGCGACGAGATCGCCTCAAAGACCGCCACGTCGGCCTGAGAGGGGACGTACCTGAGGACGCAGACACCTCATTAGCATATGTTCAACACGCCTGCGAGTCTGAAGAAAGGGCAAGATAATAAAAGTTAACAGTTCAGTTCTGAGAGTCCGACATTAAACCTCCGGCGGTCCTGAACCCGTTACGGTCCCTGATAGGCTTGTTTGTTCGCCGTGGTAACGCGACCTCCCCAGTCAGAACCCACTTGAGGACAGGGACTACGTGCTTCCTACATATACCAACACAGCGAGGGGTTCCTGACCTGTTCCTGTCTGCGGTGGGGCCCCCTAGACCCCTGACTCCCACCTGTGGCCCCCCTAGACCCCGGACCCCACAGCTACCTGGAAAACCCCCCTGGGCCGGGAAGCTCCTGCTCAGGCCACGTGTCGGCGGCACGCGACCGATTGCTGCTTATTAACGACTCAGCGGTTTCATTCAGCTCCTATAACCTCACGTGACACACCGGGGACGTGCACGCGCAGCAGTAAAATAAGAGTTGAGCACGTTAGCACCACGCGGCTCCGAGCTAGCTCACGGTAGCATGGAGCTACTGCTCCACGTCAGACTCTCCGGAGGCTGAAGTCCTGAAACTGACCTAGAGTCCGGTCTAACCCTCGTGCCGCCGCTCGGCCCTCTGTCAGGGTGAACCGCGGACATTTTACGGCGTCACGTGGGTTTATTTTCACGTTTAAACTTTCTGCTAACAGCTAACAGTTAGCCCCGGTTAGCTCAGACAGAGCCAAGATGGCGGCCTGCAGCGGCCCGTCTCTGAGCAGCTCCTACCGAGTCTCTACCGAGTCTCTACCGTGTTTCTACTGACCCCTCTATGTAGCTGCGCTCCGACAGGAAGTCGTTGAGCACCGCGAGGCCGGAGGCCGATCTCAGGTCACCGAAGCCCATGATGATGATGAAGAAGAAGAAGAGCCGGAGGAGCGAGAAGAAGGAGGAAGGAGGCGGGAGGAGGCGGCTTTATAACCGGAGACAGACCCCTCCTCACCGGACACCGCTCCTCCTCCTGCCCGCCGACCTGGAGGAGGAGCAGGAGGAGGAGGAAGGCTCAGAGATTAACTACAGCAAATATCACAGGAAATTACAAATAATTAAAGTAAAAGGATTAATTTATAAATTAAACTGAAAATTAAATTAAACTTTACTGTCGTAAAGCAGGAATGTTTATTTTATAGTTGTTGTTGTTGTTGTTGTTGTAGTAGAGGTGAGTAAAACCTCTGGTCTCCATTGTTTTTTTAACAACCTTTATTTAATGATTAAAATCAGGTAATCAAATAAAAACAATATGAAAAATCTCTAATCCCCCAGAATCAGTATCATAATCTTTGTTTCAGAAACACATCAGAAGGATCTATTGAGAATTATTTGAGAGCATTGCAGCCTAAGTTGTTATCATTAATTACTAGAGCGAAGGTGTCATCGTTTAAACAGAGGACAGTTAGGATCACAGTGTTCAGGTCCTGCTGCCCGGAGGCAGTAACACGCTGAGTGAGACAGCAGCATCAACAGCAGCAGAGGAAAATGTAGAAGCAGAATCAGTGAACGTGTGTTACAAAACATACATCAATACAGTAAGAATGTCCTGTCTAAAGCACACAGCACAGGAGACACCAGCTTCTTCCACAAAGTCAGGTTATGGTTAAAATAGCGTGATCAACATGCCCCGGACACAGAGAGGGGGGCAGTGCAGAAAGGAAACAGACATCAGTCATCAGCGATTATCCTTAATAATCTGAAGTTGAAATGTAAATGATGAACTTCTTATCCAGTAGTATAAAGATGCAGAAAGTCAACAATGCAGTAATAACTGACAGCTGAGGAACAGAAGAAAAGAAGTTCATCATGAGGAGAGGAGGGCAAACCAGCGCAGAAGAGACCACAGGATGGACTTCATCCTCCGACCTGCTGGGATGTTGGACGGGTTTATCTGTCCTGTTTTGGAATAAACTCTTTAGCACCGACTCTTGACCGTCTCCAGAGGAGTTTTTGACTATAATAGAAAGCTAATGGAGTAATTTTTTACAAAGTGTATTAAGCTGGTGAAGGTGGGGACCAGACTTAACTGGCCCAGCCTGGTCGTACCTCTGACCCAACTGATAAAAGTCATTTAATATTTTAAAGACAGGTTCTTCAGCTTCCTGTGAGAGCGTCTGAATCTCCTGTGTCCGGTACAAACCTGTAACGGAGTTCTCGGCTGCCTGATGACCACACAGAGGCCTGTTCACTGTTAATGGCTGGATAAATTCAGCTTATTCAGCTAGCCACCACCTGAGCCAACCTGAGAACCACCTGAGAACCACCTGAGAACCACCTGATCATCACCTGAGCATCACCCGAGCATTACCTGAGAACCACCTGAGCACCACCTGAGCATCACCTGAACGTTACCTGAGCCAACCTGAGAACACCCTGAGAACCACCTGAAAACCACCTGAGATCACCTGAGAACCACCTGAGAACCACCTAAGGCCAACCAGAGCACCACCTGAGCACCACCTGAGAACCACCTGAGTCAACCTGAGCACCACCTGAGCTCACCTGAGAACCACCTGAGCACCACCTGAGAACCACCTGAGCATCACCTGAGAACCAACTGAGCTCCAACTGAGCACCACCTGAGAACCACCTGAGAACCACATGAGCCCCACCTGAGAACCACCTGAGCATCACCTGAATGTTACCTGAGCACCACCGGAGAACCACCTGAGCCGCACCTGAGAACCACCTGAGCATCACCTGAGCACCACCTGAGCATCACCTGAGCATCACCTGAGCCAACCTGAGAACCACCTGAGAACCACCTGAGCATTATCTGAGCTCACCTGAGAACCACCTGAGCATCACCTGAGAACCACATGAATCCCACCTGAAAACCACCTGAGCATCACCTGAATGTTACCTGAGCACCACCTGAGCACCACCTGAGCCCCACCTGAGAACCACCTGAGCATCACCTGAGCACCACCTGAGCATCACCTGAACGTTACCTGAGCCAACCTGAGAACCACCAGAGAACCACCTGAACGTTACCTGAGCCAACCTGAGAACACCCTGAGAACCACCTGAGAACCACCTGAGATCACCTGAGAACCACCTGAGCACCACCTGAGCATCACCTCAGCTCACCTGAGAACCACCTGAGCATCACCTGAGCATCTCCTGAGCATTACCTGAGCCAACCTGAGAACCACCTGAGAATTACCTGAGAACCAACTAAGAACCACCTGAGCTCACCTGAGAACCACTTGAGAACCACCTGATCATCACCTGAGCATCACCCGAGCATTACCTGAGAACCATCTGAGCACCACCTGAGAATCACCTGAGAACCAACTGAGCTCCACCTGAGCACCACCCGAGAACCACCTGAGCATCAC